GACTGACTCACGGTCTGCGCGACCGTGGACCCGGCGGTACCTGAACTACCGGCTTGGGAAGTCTGTTGCGCAGACGTGCTCATGGTTGTGGTAACCATGGCTGCTGTAGCACCGGCCTCGCTAGCTAATGCCCTGCTGGCCTCGGCTGCTCTAGCTCTCCTCTGCTGCTGCCTCTCCCTCTGCGGGCGGAACAACTCCCTATCCCCCTCCGGTTCTAGGGACACGTGAGTTATTGGGCCTCTAGCTGATCGCAAAGTCCTGCGGTTGTCCTCTCCGGTGTCCTCCCTGTCGCTCATAGGCTACAGCACTGTGCACCGTCTACACTAGATCATTCAAGATGCCTACCGCAGCATAGTGCACAGACCAACTAATTGGTGGTGGCTATTTTGGAACAGATCTCATTTGGGGTCAACAGGTAAGTTAGATTCCTACTGTCAATACTATTTTTAGTAAGATTAGTTCTCAAACAGAGGAAGCATCAGGAATAAATAATATTCTAAACTAATGCTGTCTGTCAGATGTCACATGGTTGTCCATCTAACTAATCAAAAATAAAAATAATGTTGACTCATCAGGTCTGTTCACAGCTTGGAATTTAAACCCGAACTTATCACCTGGAATCTACCCTTCCCTTTGTTTTTCTCAATGTCACGGTGTCACGTTTCTACGCATCAGAAGCCAAGCGTGTCTAAAAGGTGTGCAATCCGGTCCCACCCCTGTGCCCCAGGTTATCGTCGAGCAAGGCAGCCACAACACTCTTATTTATCCTCGTACGCCGACGAGCCTTACACTCGGTTGATCTGGCTGATCAAGAGGCAAGTTAACGTCCGCCCCCAAGTGACATCAGGAATTATTTTACGTCGCAACAAGACGACGATCACAGCCAGATCAGAGCCGAGTCCCCAACCAGAAATGTTTATAGACGGTCTGGTATGCGTCTTAAGAGGCTGCCACACTCGAGTTAACCCCTATCTTGCGCAAGCAGCAGAACCAACGACTTGCAGCGAAGCATGTGTGTACTAGTCCCAGCGGGTTGGCATGGTGACCATGACCCGAGTGCTTCGTCCAGGGCCCTTCAAGAAGCTCCGCCCGTCTTCCCCCAGATGCTCCACGTGAACAATCACGACTCTCAAGGTTGAGCGCACTCGACACCTCACGATGAGAGGACTCTCAAGACAGAACTCACAACCTCACGGTAAGAAGTGATGAAGAGGGTAGATAAGGTTAAGAGCAACGTACCTCATTCAAGCTGCCCCCAACCACAGAGATAATCTCACCAGATGACCAAGTGGCGATTGCGATGACCAGTCACTGCATCGGCACAACCAGCATTATCCACCGTTCCACCTCAGCATCAATCGCACATTAGATAGTTCTCATCACGCTGTCCATACCACATACACTTGACATAGCCTTCCTGGCGAACCCCTCACCTCCTGGGTCGCCTTCACACTCGTCTCCACCCTCCTCACTACACACCACTTACGGCCAAACTCGCCCAGCAGACCGCATGTATGTACCACATAAGGCAGAAGACAAGCGCCAGATGAGCACAATCGTACCACAGCTCCAATACCAAATTGCAAGGAAGATGAGCATTAGCAAACTCCAGCAATCAAACAGTATCATACATATGAGTCCAGATAGTCTTGACCTCGAACCAACAGCAGAAATGCATCACGAGATTCACCAAATAAGAACACACCAATAGTTCGTAATTGACAATGCTGAAATAGTCTCTCATCATCATCAACGAAGAACAAGAGTTGGTATCCTATTGGCGCTCGGCGCCCAGACTACATGTGGCAGATCCTATCTAGCCTAATACTACAATGCCGATGTTGACATCAACAGCTTCCTGAAGTACGAGCATACAGCGGGCAATGCCGCACGCTTCCAGCACCAGGTATGTCTCTCGCAACACTCACAACCCCGATCTACACCACACAGATGCCACTAGCACCCAAGGACCACCCTGCGCCACACCCAGCTTACAGCGGAGCAGCTCGGCTATGGCTGCCCGCTTCTTCCTGCTCGCCCGTGAGAGCGTGAGTGCCACCCAGCCAGCAAATAGCGCAGCAGCGCTCGCGCAGCATGCAGCCAGCACCCGAATGCCGAATGAGGAGGCAGGCCCTTCCCTATATCGAAGTGGCCTGCCTGCGTCCAGTCCAGGAAGCTTCCAGTAGGCCCCGGTAGGCACAGGCCCAGACCTCACACGCAGGCCCAGGGCCTGATGGTTGCATGTGCCCAACTGCCCTTGGTCTGCTCACGGCCTTTCCACGCGTCTGGCCCAGGTCCCCATTCAGATACATTTGCAAACTATGGCCTGGGTCTGGGCGCCTTCAACCAACTGGCGCAGCGCAACTGTCTGAATTTCACCAGTTGCGGGGTACCCTGAAAATCGAGGCCCTGAGGGCCTGTCGCGCCTGCTTTCACTTAGGGCGGCCGACTTGCTGCAAAAAGGGGCCCGAAGGGGCTGAGCGGGCGTAGCCTCGCATCATCGGGAGACAGC